GACGTGTTTGTGGAGACGTGCAGTTCAGGAAACTCAACACCGATCCTGCACATCTCCGCAAAAGCGTCCAGATTCAGGCGTTGAGGTAGCTCAACGCTGCTAGTGGGACTTGGCCCCTGGCATATATACATTATGACAGGCCCGCCAGCAACTGACCATTTTTTATCATCGCGATGTTTTTTTTTTTTTTTTTTTTTTTTTTTTGGGCCATTTCTCGATTTATGCGCGTCATCCTTGCACAGGGGTCATGCTATCTAATCTTCTCTGTACCGTTCCAATTTTAACGGATGTCCCGAAGGACAACGCCATGTGAAAGTGTATTGCCTAACCGGTCACCCCCTATGAGACACACCCCCCCACCCTTACTCATCACCACGATCCCTGGCCCATCCCTACTCCCAAGGTCCTACCCGAGACGAATTCGCTTCTGAAGGCGGCGGACAGTCTTTTATGTGACAAGGTTCATGAATCAGATCAAGCATTATAACCCATATAACCCATATAATACTCTGGAAATAGACAGACATTTATGCCTACCTATCATTAGACCCAGATCAGCTTTGCTTACCTGGCACTTTTTTTTCTTTTTTTTTTCTCACTTTTTTATTTTTTTTTATTTTTTTTTATTTTTTCGTTTTTTTTTCTTTTATTTTCGTTTTTTCTTTTTTTTTTCTTTTTCTTGGTACCTGGCACTCTGGATCCCCAATTTGACGTTGTAGGAGCTTTGGCTTCTGACAAGGTTCATTAATCAGCTCAAGCATTATAACCCATATATAATACTCTGGAAATAGACAGACATTTATGCCTACCTATCATTAGATCAGCTTTGCTTACCTGGCACTCTTTTTTTTTTTCTTTTCTTTTCTTTTTTCTCTTTTTTTTTTTTTTTTTTTTTTTTTTTTTTTTTTTTTTTTTTTTTTTTTTTTTTTTTTTTTTTTTTTTTTCTTGGTACCTGGCACTCTGGATCCCCGAATTTGACGTTGTACTCGAGGAGCTTTGGCTTCTGACAAGGTTCATTAATCAGATCAAGGCTCATCAAGCATTATACCCCATATATAATACTATGGAAATGGACAGACGTTTATGCATACCTGTCATTAGATGGATGCAGATAAGCTTTGCTGACCTGGCACTCTTTTTCTCTTTTCTTTTTTTTCATTTTTTTCGTACATGGCACTCTTTTTCTCGATTCTTTTTTTTTTTTTTTTTCCGTACCTGGCACTCTGGATCCCCGAATCTGACGTTGTACTCGAGAAGCTTTGGCATGTTCGTCTTGCTGTCAATCATCAGCCCCGCGAATAGAACGCCCACAAAAGGGCAACCTTCCTCTGCCATCGCCTTGACCGTCGGATTGATGATGGTCTCCATCACCGCCCGCTCGATCTCCGGTGTCAGCACGGGAGCGGGGGAGTACGCGCCCATTCCGCCGGTGTTGGGCCCAGTATCCCCGTCACCGACGGCCTTGTGGTCCTGCGCGGAAGCCAGCGGAAGCGCACGCTCCCCATCCACGAGCGCAAAGAAGGATGCCTCCTCCCCTTCCAAGAATTCCTCGATCAGGATCTTCCCGCCTCCCTCCCCCTGCAGCCCCAGCATGGCGTCCACAGCTTGCGCCGCCTCTTCCTCCGTCTGCGCCACCACGACGCCTTTTCCCGCCGCCAGCCCGTCCGCCTTCACGACGATCGGCGCGCCGACCTCCGCGAGGTAGCGCTTTGCCGCCTCCGCGTCGGTGAAGGTAGCGTGCGCCGCCGTCGGGATCCCGTGCTCCGCGCAAATGCGCTTCATAAACGCCTTCGAGCCTTCGAGCGCCGCCGCCTGCGCGGAAGGACCGAACGTCGGGATGCCCGCGGCGCAGAGCGCGTCCGCCAGGCCCGCCACCAGCGGAACCTCCGGACCCACGACCACCAACCCGACTCCGCGATCCCGACAGAGCGCAATCACCGCCTCGTGGTCCGCCACGTCAAGATCGGCGAGACACGTGGCATCTCCCGACAAGCCGATGCCCGCATTTCCCGGCGAGCACAGGACTGTCGACGTGGAGGGAGAGCGGGACAATGCCCAGCACAGCGCATGTTCTCTTCCTCCAGATCCCACCACCAAGACGGAGGTTCCGCCGCCGCCGCTCCCCCCTCCTCCTCTTGAGCTGCCGGCGTCGTCGGTATCCGGATTGGCGGCCGCGCGCACGACAATGAGAACGGCGGCGGCGGATTTCCGGCGCGTTCCACGTGGCAGCTGACCACTGCTCCTTCCAAGCCTGCCAATGTCGTCGCGACCGATCCCGATCTGCTGCTTAAGACCGGGGGAGGGGAGCCCATAGCCGCCGCCGCCGCCAGAGGCGGCGCGGCATCTTGTCCCGCCGGAGCTAACCCCAACGTAGCTCCATAGATTGCCACTCTCTAAGGACTGACACGATGCATCATTCCCCAATGAGATGGCCACACCTTTGTTCGCTGCGCAAGCGGCCTCGATCTTCACAACCCTGCTACAGCGAAATGCCGAGTAGGAGTCGCAGGAGATGGGGAGGAAACGAGAGTGGGCGGAAGATCCTCTCTCTCCATGCCCCACCCGCGAGAAAATACGCGCTCCTCCTCCCTCCTTCGACCCAGAACGACGGTTTTCCACACCTGTTCGATCATTCACCCCAACACTGTGCCAAACACCTCCTATTTCTCGCACGGAAATGCACGCCATCCTCTCTCTCTCTCTCTCTCTCTCTCTCTCTCTCTCTCTCTCTCTCTCTCTCTCTCTCTCTCTCTCTCTCTCTCTCT